TTTTTTTTTCTCTGAGATGTTTTGTTAAAGGTGGTATTATTTTATTGGTTTTCCTTTGAGGCTAAAGATTGGTTAATGATTTTTACGTACTTTTTTACATTAAAAATGTAAAAATTAATTTTAATTTAAATCATGGATATATATATATAGCGTTTGCACCCAACTTTATAAGTCATTTGGTAAAAGATGCATTTTCCAACCTCATAAATTGGATTCAAACCCTTCCCTTACCCTAAAAAATTATACTTGTTCAAAAAAAAAAATGTAACTTGTCTCCTTCTCATTGACTTAGTTTAAATTATAGTTAAAATTTTTTAAATTAATTTAAAAAGTAAATGAACTTTTATAGATTTCAAATTTTTGATACAAAACTAATCAAAAAGTTCTCGTGGTTCAAGTGACCAGCTATATGTTATAAAAGACAATCTTATGCTAATAGTAGGTGTGAGATTTGAGCCCCACCCTTATATTAAAAAAAAAAAACAAAAACAAAAACAAAACTAATTAATCATGCTTCCTTACCTTTTTTTGGCAGAAAAACTATCATTTTATAATTAAAGATAAAGTTTATATATATAGAGAAGAGGGATTTATTTACATATAAATTTCATATATTACATTTATATAACATTTTAATTATTTATCTTTTTACTTTTAATAGTTGAGATTTATCACGATTTTTAAATAAAAAAGATAATTATCTTTAATAAATGTAAATAAATCTCAACCATTGAAAGTTGAGAAATAAATTATTAAAATTTTGCGCAAGCGCAGTGTATAAGATTTATATGTAAGTGGATCCTACTCATATATATATATATATATAAAGGTGAAAGTGTTTGTCAATTGAGTCTTTAAAAAATTAGGAGGAAAAAAGACTCTAAAACTATATCGTTTCAATACACTCTCATTAAAAATGACTAAAATAATCTATTGTTAAACCAAATTTTAGTTTATTTTGGTTTTTTCTCATGATACTTTAACAAAATAATGTAATTTTTCAATGTTTATTCTCCTAATTTTTCAGAAGCTTGGTTGAGAAATATCCCTTGACTAGAACGAGATTTGTTGCTTTGATATTCTAATAAGACATAAAAATATTGTATTTTATAAATTGAATTTATTATCTTATAAAAACTTGGTTGAATTAGTCGTTAAGTGCTATTGTCCTATCTAAAGGCATATTATTTCTTACTAATTGCCCAATTTTTTTCTACAATTAACCAATAGATTGAGGTTACAAGACTACGAATTCTATAAATAGAACATGTTATTTTGCTTT